CGGTCAACACCAACCGCCTCTTATCCAGGACGATATATATTTACCCATTGACACATGGAACAACCAAACGTAAAATATACGGAGATAATACTCGCTAGAAGTAAACACTGCCAGCCAACTGATTATTTAGAGGCCTTAAACGGGTTATGTCAAAATGAAGAAAACCAGAAGTGCATGCTCCCTCTAAAGAATCAGCTACGTTATTAAAAATCTATAAAGGCAATAGGCTATCAAAGCTTGCTCGGCAGGTCTCTGACAGAAAATCATACACAAAAACCAGAAACATCGCTCGGGTAGGTTTGTGTACTTTGCACCCATCTCCTCTCGGAAAACTCTCTGGCCAGGAATAAAGAGGCCGTCCTTCTGCATCTTCTCCCATTATCAGTCCGAGACACTTTTACTGTCGAGCCTGTTTTATTACTCCTTCGCTTAGGAATGCCCACGCACGTTCCGAAGGAGGGACGGTGCTTCCTTCAGAGCAAGCACACGGAGCTCAGATACCTCTGCCCAGCGAGCAGAGACCCGAAGGCTGGCAGCAGAGCGCAATGGGACCCCAGACCCTCCCATCGCCTCCCTGGGACCAGGGAGAGGACGCGGTCCGTCTGCTTCAAAAGCACACTAAAATGTTAATTCTGCGCCTTCCGAGCGATCAGGTGGGTCAAGCCTCCGCGCCTCTGAAAACTGCAGCACAAGTCTGGCTCACTTTCCAGGACGCACTGCACAGAGTCCCTCAGAGCAGCTTTGCTGGGCTCTGCTTCCAGAATTTCCCTGGTCTTTGGGACAGTCCCGTAAAAGAAGTTGCTCTGTGACCACTACAGACTACCCCCCCCAAAAAAAAAAAACCCACAAAAAAACCCCACCAACTTTTAACGCCAAGCTTGCCAATGGGCACACACGCCCAGGTTTTCCTCGGCTTTTCTAGAGAGTGGAGGAGCGAACCAAAGTTTCTAGAGGCTGAAAAGCGATGATCTCACTTTTGCAGAAATGCGAATTTTCTGCCTATTTTTACCTGATTATTTGCAAATATTTACAGTAAACACAAAGAAACATCCCGCGTCACATCTTGCCAAGGCCATGCAATTACAAAAACATACAGCAGCAACTTTCCAGCGCTGCCCATCAGCAGCACGAGGAGCCCACTCGTGACATCTCTAAGATCTGACAAAGGATTTCACGAAAATTTACCCTTCCCAGGCTCAGGAGGGGAAAAAGAAAAAAAAGAAAAAAAGAAAAACAATCAGAGAAAATAAATTCAGAACCA